GTGCTTACTTTGCTTTCATCTGGTTGTGTGACTGCTCGAGCGAGTAGACCTTGCCGCGGATCAACTCAATCTCTTGGATGTGACGCGTGACTGCAAAGACTAGTTAGCAGCTGTGAGCTCCATGCGACAAAAGACAGTCGAGGCCATGCGCAGAAAGTTTGCTCGCCCGGTCCTTGGATACCGCACGGCAACTGCTTCCCTTCGCGGCTGGATAGCATGTGCAAGACTCACTTTGGCCTTCGGCATCGACACTGCGCTGGGATTCGGCTTCGAACTCGGTCTTGATGTTGTCGAGCAGCTCGTTGAGGCGCTGGGCTGGGCCCGTCTGGGGAGGCATGACCGCCCGGGGAGGGTAGTGGTTCATGCTGGCGGCGGGGTCGCGCGTCCGGGAGAGGGTGCGAAGATGGGGTGGCCGTCTGCTTCGCGTTGTGCGCTATTGAGACGCGAGCAACAGGGCGCGGTATGCGACGACGTCGGGTGGGAGCCTGGCGGTCGCAAGGCTGTGGGCGCACAGCTGGCACGAGCTATCTGGGCTGGTACACGTCTACGGGGCCGGCCCTCTGGTGGGCGCGACGGGTGTCGGATGGATAAACGGTGGATGGGGGCAGATAGGGATGCAAACGGGTGAGATGGTGTCGTGGCTGTGAGATCGCTGAGGTTTGAGCGCAAGATGGGTGGGTCGCCGTGGTTGGTGCTTTTGCTTGGCTTGCACGGAGGAAGAGGCGTTTCAAATCCGGCAGGCGGGAAACATGGCCATCTGGAGCGCTTGCGCCGACATGGCACCAGTTCCGCTACGACTCGCTGTGCCCAAGACGTCGACCTCGGTATGTGCATCCATGATACTCTCTTTTCCACCCCCAAACTTGCATGCCTCCGCCCAAGACTCTCGCCAGCATCCCTTCTCCCATCCGCGTCGCTCGCTCCGCTCCACCCCATCCAGCCGGACCCTTGTGCTTGCTCGCGCTAGTGCTGCCGTTCCCGCCGCGCTACACTGCATTGAGCCAAGCTGCATATCGCACGTGTTTGTCCTCTTTCGGCCGCGATCGCTTTTCTTTCCCACCTTACAAGGCTTACATCAGCACTCACATTCGTACACTCAGGCGGCCTTGTCCACACAATGACTTGCCACCCCCACGATACTTTCTTCTTCGTTCAGCAATAGCGGGACTATCAGGCCTAGTTCACCTAGCGGCTGCGCTTGAGTAATTGAACTACACGGAAAAAGTGTTGCATGCGCATATGGGCTAGTGATCGTGGCATGAGCATCACGATGTGTTCTAGCCAGTTATGCATCTATTTCATTGCAAGTGTCCTCGGAAGATCGACTCTGCATACATCGTTCGGTGTTTTTGTGGCTTCCAGAGTCATGCAACTTGTTAGAGCCCGAGACTAGTTTTCGTCTTCAATGTTGCATTCCTCCTTCTGCCCGCAGCACCACTTGTTCACACTGAACAACGTCGTCCCCCATTTCTGGCTTACGAGCAGCGCTGGTTTCACATATAATCACGATGGTTACACGACTACACGACGCGTTTGGCGGCTGAATTACACCCATGGCACGGGGCCACTCGACCACCCCCGCGCTGCCGGTGGTACCATGTCTGATTCGCCCCAGACAGCCACAGAAAACTCGTTCATGTCAAACGACGCACTCATCCACTGCATCGAGAACAACACGGCAGATCCAGCATCACGGTCCTCCTCGTCGTTGTGGCCATTGTGTCATGGCTACCCGACGAGACCGTAGCTGCTAGCCCTTCCATTCGTAGTTACGACGCGTGGGAAGTCCCTAGCGCTGTCGCGTAAGCCATCTCGTGCGGAATGCTCACCTCACCAGATCTCGTCCCGCAACCAGGACTATCGTCGTATCACGCCATTCTCCCGTGCATTTCCCTTTGCCTGCTGGCTGCCACGCCTAACACACCTTGTGATCTTCCGCCTTCCTAGTCACCGCTTCCAACAGCCAACGCCATGCGTTCCTTCAATGCGCGCCTGTCACTCACTGGCCGCCATCAATCGCCACTTATACCCGGTGTGATGTTCATGATGCGCTTAGCATGCACGCAATCGCCATGAATGCTTCAATGGCTGTGGCAATCACCGCCTACTGCATTGTGAAGCCCCCATGCTCGCCATATAAGCTGCCTACCTGCTTCTTTCCAATACAAATCGACATTCCTCCTCCTCATACATTACTATTGATTGCTATTTGCTATCAATTAACTAATCACTACCTCAACTATCATCTACCGTTCTGTTCAGACGCCCCCCGACATTAGTGTTCATCATGTCGCTACAGGGTGATGAGATTGCCGAGCAGCGGCCCACTTACCGACGTCTAGCGACTGCCGAGCGACGTCAGATCAGCATCAGGGCGTTCAAGTCCTCGGATTCACTCTACAAACTCAAGGAACAGAAGGGTACTCTTGAGGCTGCTGTCGAGGTCAGTACTACCATTCTTCAATTGCAAACCTTTTGATTAACATGTGGACATGGCAGCCCCTTTACGCAGGCCTTGCTGTCGCTCAGTCTGACGATGGCGACTTTCGCTACTGCATTGCTTTGCATGATGGAACCTATACCATTAACTGTGAGAGCAAATCTCTGGGGCTATCCGGAGACGCAGGCGAGGGCAACTCATCGAACGAATCATCGCGAGTTGGATCAGGAGTCTCCACACCCATGTCTGTAGGGGATGTTTCCGAAGCTCTGTCAAAAGCCTTCATCGGCTTTCTCAACGACTACCGAGAGGAGAACCTTTCCAAGCCCATGGGTGCTACTCTGACCACGCAACTGGCTACTTTGAGTCCCCACCTGGCCGTACGCCTATGGACTGAACTAGACATTATACCATTCATCTTTCCGGTTGACGCCAAAGAGAAGGAAGAGCCATCGATACCCCTAGATCAAGAAGCCGAACGCATGGCGAGAAAGACAGTGAAGCAATTCAACGTCAAGGGTGAGTTACCCGTTCAGATGGGTCATCGTCGTCAGGTTTTGGTTGATCTCGACAACCACGTGCACATCGCCGAGCGCGAAAGCTACGATTCTACTGTCAGGATGGACACTACAGGAGCTGCAACGATGCATTACGCAAATTCGCTCAAGAAGAGAAGGACCAAGATTGCCTTCTTCAACAGCACAGCACAAGGCGGGGGTGTTGCTCTCATGAGGCACGCTCTGATGAGATATCTGGCTCTTCTCGGTGTCGACTGCAAATGGTACGTTCCATACGGAAAGACCGACATCTTCAGGATCACCAAAGACAACCATAATATTCTTCAGGGTGTCGCCACAGCGGGCGAGCGTTTGACCGAGGAAAAAAAGGCCGATCTTGATGACTGGGTGATTGAAGAGGCTGACAAGTGTCGCTGGGTCGAGCACGGCGGCCCGCTGTCATCCCGCGAGAAGGGTGGTGCCGATGTGATCATTGTCGATGATCCTCAGATGCCGAGCCTTGTCAAGATAGCGAAGGAGCGAGACTCCAGGTGTGTACTCCCGAATTGCTTAGAAACTCATCCAAGATGCTTTTTATACTAACTCTATCCTCTAGTCGCCCAGTAATTTTCCGCAGCCACATCCAGGTCCGAGCTGACCTAGCTGACGAAGCAGGTACCGCCACCTCCGAAGTATGGAACTGGATCTGGAACCACGTCAAAGATTGTGATGTCTTCGTCAGCCATCCCGTGCGAGCATTCGTGCCCGAGGTTGTAACCCCAGAGAAAGTCGGCTACCTGCCTGCCACTACTGACTGGCTAGATGGTCTGAACAAGCACATGCACCCCTGGGACGAGCAGTATTACATCCACGAGCTGAAGGTCCAGTGCTTTTCAGCTGGTATGCGTCAGCTCGCTCACCCGGATCGCAAATACATCGTCCAAATCGCTCGCTTCGACCCAGCGAAGGGCATCCCAGACGTACTCGCATCATACGCACTCTTGCGCAAGGTGTACATGAAAGACACGCCCCTTGTAGACATCCCTCAGCTCGTAATAGCTGGCCATGGTGCCGTCGACGATCCAGATGCTACACGGATCTTCAAGGAAACCGAGACCGCTCTCAACGGGGAGTTCAACGAGTTCAAGGACGACGTCATCATCATGCGTATCGGACCATCCGACCAGATGCTCAACGCACTCATGTCCTGCGCTCATGTCGCTCTCCAGCTCTCCACCCGCGAAGGCTTTGAGGTCAAGGTCAGCGAAGCGCTCCACAAGGGCACGCCTATCATCGCTACTCTCGCTGGCGGTATCCCTCTGCAGGTTCAGGATGGAAAGTCCGGCTTCTTGGTCAAGCCTGGTGATCATGACGCTGTTGCCAAGCACTTGTATGATCTCTTCACCGATTCGGAACTTCATTCGACTATGTCGGAGTATGCGAGTAAGCATGTTAGTGATGAGGTCAGCACGGTGGGCAATGCGCTGGCTTGGCTGTATCTGGCCGATGAGCTATCCAAGGGGGAGCATGTCGCACCTGACGGCCGATGGATCAACGATATGGCGAGGGAGAAGGCGGGTATTCCGTATCAGAAGGATGAGGATATCTTGGTGCGCGATGTGAGCTTGACGAACTGAGTGTGGATGTCTTTGAGAGGTACTATAGATGGGCGATGAGCATGAGAGACATGTTATGTAATACTCTCGTCAGAAGCTGCAATTATCAGTCTTAATTCACGGTTGACAGTGCCAGATTAATTTCATAGGTAAACAAGCACTGCACAGAGCGACCGATAGCTATGTGTGCTCGTGTCAGAGTAGAGATATCACCTTCAGTAATGCTTTTGTCATTGAAACTCAATCACAGTTCATATTACTTTTGTGCTAACTTTTGAAATGACCTCTGCTTTCTCCATTTGACTCTCAAATATTTCATATGCTTGCTTTTGTTCTCTCTCGTCAGATTCTGAATCCGATGTCTCCTCCGTGCAAAGGTCTTAGACCTGCATCCATGACGAGCTTTTCTATCATCTCCCTCGACTCTCGGCCCCTGTACGTACCGGATCAGAGTTCCTTCAACATCTGCACGCGCGCTTCCCAATCGTCCTTAGACAGCATGTGAGCCACATAACTCTGGTGACCCGATAACTGTCCTGTCGATGCGACGATCCTCCAGTTGTCTAATCGGAAACCCTTCTTCGGTTGTGGGCTGATTATCGCATCGATGCGAAGATCGACGCCAGCATGTTGCTTCCAAAACGTTCCATTAGAACGAACACAGTATACCTGGCACAGACCCTCAAAAAAACCACAGGTAAGAGCCCAGCTCCACCCCAAGCTGCGATAATCCAGTTCGGAACTCGCAATGGTGGCTTCAACATCAGCAGTAGAAGTTCCGACAAGGCGTGAAAGACCGACTCCCGCAAGGTACGAGTTGCAGGTGGAGACGAATCGCGAGATGGAATCGGAAGATCTGGCACCAGCGAGCGCTTGTTCAGGTGAATTGGTGAGGCAGGAATCTGGGTCGTTCTGAACCCAATTGGCAGCTTTCCAGTTCATGCGAAAACGTACTGGCTCCTTCACCATTTTCTGGAGTTTCTGGGCAATGATAGGTGCAGCTTCTTTGTTGACGAGGCGGCAGGTTGCCAGGATTGACATTGGCAGAGCGCGTCGGTACATAACAAGTTTACCATTGCCTTGTGGCCAGCCTGCAAAGGAAAGATGTGTACCTAGGTAGTCAGTGAATGTCTCACGTGCACTTTGTACAGCCAGAACTTACTATCATCTTGTTCGATCTGGACGTACGGAGGCTCGTGCTTTCTCGTGGGGTTGTACTTTTCTTTTCTTGTCGCTACATCGAGGGCTTCGTAGACCATGCAGCGCAGCTCAGCCGGGAGATCGAGGAAGCGGAATGGTGGAGCTGACATGGCGACCGTACGCGAAACGCTGGAGTGTTGGAGTTGTTGAGAGTGAAGGTCAGCGGAAGACGAGGTGTGTGAGAGTGAGGCCAAATTGACGTTGGAAGAAGAGAGAGAGAGAGGGAGAGAGTAGGAGGCCATAAATATTTAAGTATCGGAGCCACTAACGCGTACGGCGGGTGACGTGTGGGGACGGGCCTCAAGGTGAGAGACGATAACGGAAGGTGCGCCACGTGCTGGAAGCTCAATTGTGGACTTCGCGAATACATGATTCTAAGTGAGAGCATCAATGCTAGACATCAATATCAGTTGCCTGACAACTAGCCAATATCTGCATCCAAGACGCATTCACACTTACCCGTCCTTCTTCCAGTGCGAAGCAAGAGCCACAAACTTTTCATATCGAAACAACGACACGCATCCCACTAACACCCACGCAGAACCTAGATATCAGCCACAAAATGAAACCCACCCCACCTATCGCGAAACAGCATACCACCGGGCCTCCCATCCCTACCCTGACTAATCCGCTTCTCCAGCGTCCAATCACCCTCTTTGCTAGGATCCCACATCTCAATAGGACCAAGCTCTCTATCCTCAGCATCAACACCATCGACCGCATGACTACGCTGTTGCTGATACCGAACATACTCGCTAAAGCGACTTAACACCAGATCGCCACTGCTGTCACGGACAGGGAGGGCCTGATTGGGATCGGGCGTGAAGCGCGCTGCGAGAGGAGACTCAATAGAGCACGTACGAGGAGTGCCGTGACCGGAGGGGAACCCGAGACGTGCTTCGATGGAACTTGCCTGGCTGCGAGGTGTCGAGGCTGTCGCTGTACTGGTACTGCCGCGGTTGCTGGAGGGGAGGACCATACGTGTACCGCTTTCGCGCATGAAGGCTAGAGTCTCCTCATCGAGACTATCAGGACGGGGAGGGCGCGGAGGTGGTGGGCCGGGACGCTTTTCGAAGGGTACCGTGACGTGGTCTTCTGGAATGGGTGGACTACAAAGCTGGGCCATGAGCTGAGGGCGAGATATGGAGACGCTGCGGTTTTGAGTCTTGGCGAGAGATGCGCGCGATCCGCGTGCTGTTGACAGTGATGTGAGGACAGGACGGCGTGCTTTGGGGAGAGGGACGCTAGTAGGTATCTGTGGAACGGGCGGAGGCGTTGGTGACTGCGTGGAGTCGTTGTTCTTGCTGCCGCCGAAGAGACGAGAGCCTAGAACAAGAGTCAACATTGAGTTGACATTTGCATGAATAGCGGAAAACATGCCTTTTTCTCTAAGTAATGCGAAGTTGGGGCGTGACTTTGATCTAACCGGCTCTCCACCGCGAGCGTGTTTGTGCTCTGGAGTGGCGGAGAGGCTGCGCGAAGCTGGCGGAAGTGCCGGTGAGCTTGTTTGATACTCTTCCTCTTCCAAATCCTCGTAGTCGGGTAGGTTTTCGAAGCTATCGCCTTGCTGTCCTAGGGTGACACGCGTAGCGACTGGGGAAAGTGGCGTGGACGGGTTGGGATTGGAAGGCAGAGTAGGCAGTGGCTTGTTTAGCTTGTCGTTCTTGCGTCCAAAGAATCGCGATGCTGCACATAGTTTTAGTGTGTCTTTGCTTACATGCGAAGCAGTGACTTACGCTTTTTCCGCATACCCGCGTCGTCCTGAATCCCGGCGTCAAAGTCGATGTCCGAACTGTCCGCGATAGCGGTCTTCTCATCACGACTTGGGCTATCTCTGAAGAAGTGCGACGCTACTTATATGTTAACGCTAAAGCTTTTGCGGTTGTGGAGCGAGTGAATCCAACCCGGGTTCAACGCTGCCTATGGGAGAGAATAAGAGCCTACCTTTGCTCCGAAGACTCTTCATCCTGATCAGTTGCGACAGTTGGCAGTTGACAGTTGTGACAATTCGGTTTTGTATTAGTACGTAAGGTCGGGCGAGTGTTGCAAAGGTCGCGTGATTGCCTGCAAAGAAGAATCAAAGCGATCGAGTGGGGGTGTGATTGGTGGTGCGTAAACAGGCGCGAGAAGACAACAGGAAAATGAACCTGCGCCCACTGGAGGTGCTCACTCAGGGTAGATCGCGACAAGTGCCAAGCAGCACTGGCACGTGCCGCTAGTGACATGGGATGGTGAAAGTGAGAGTTCACTCCCGTGATGAGCCGAGGGCAGGGAGAACCCTCGCTCGCCCAACAGTTAGTATGCCACCCCATGCTCTTGTCTGTGTCATATACTTCTCTTGCAGACAGAACAGATGACGTGGAAATCAAAGTCAAGCGAAGAAACAATATAGGGAAGCAGCTCACCATCACGAAGTCGTGCCGAACGGAAACCGTGTTTGGACATGAAAACTTCGTGCCTCCCGAAGGAGACACGGAAGTCGAGCATCATGCCCTTATATTTTTTTCTTGATTTTTACTTGTGGTTTGTGGTGGTGTAGTGATAGTCGAGTTGAGTCGTGCCTGGATCCAGATCATGGACAGCAGAGAATTGTCAGAGGAAGCTCACTTCTCATAGCCAGTCGAGACATTCCCTAAAGTGCCTATGCACCAGAACATGAAACATGGTGCAAGAAAACGCCTGATTTCCAGCTCTTCAAATCCCATGTCCATGCATCCATTCATGAACAGTGACAAAAGAAACGCTTGCGCTGGACCAAAGAACCTGAGACGACATGCCCGTCAATGCTCACTACTTCCACAAAAAGGATGGCCACCAGCCATTGATAACGCCATAAACTCCAGATGAAATGACAATACAATCATGAACCATAAACATGGAACAAATAGAAAATCCATATAAACAAGCGAATGTAGTGAGCCCAAACCATGCCCAAACATGGCAGGTCTCGTAGAAGCGACTACCTGACGCTGGACTCGCCAGCCGGGCTGAGATTGAGCAAGCGTTTGAGATCCTGCTCCAGAGACAACGTATTGGAAGGGGTCGCGGTTTTCATGGGTGAGGCACCAGTAGTGGCAGCGGGGGCTGAGGTCTTGCGTTGTTTAGCAGCGACTGATGAAGGTACAAAGGACATCATGCTGGTAGGGGCCTTTGGAGCAGATGCTGGAGGAGCATTAGCCGCGGTATTTCCAGTCCCACTCATATTGCCTCGTTTCTGGTAAGTGTCTGGGCGAGGCTGTTGTGGCTGTTGTGGCTGCCGGCCAGGCGTCTTCCTGCGGTTGTTTGGACTTTGTTGATAGGATTGTACATGGGGTGCTGATGGCCGGGGCCCGTTGGCAAAGCCTCCGTTGGCGTTGCCTGGCTGATCTCGGGAAAAGGCGTTGGGGTCCATCATCTGAGTGGGAGGAACAGAAGGAAAGCTCTGGAAGTTGCCCGGTCCGACCATAGGAGACTCAGCCGAGATCTCGGTACGAAGACCAGAGTTGCGTTTCTTTGCAGAATCACCCTTTGCGGCTTTGAACAAGGGAGAAAGATTACGGTTGCCATAGAAAAATTCAGAGTCTTGGTTCGGCGGTGGTGCCTGCGGTGTGGTGGGTCCAGAAGGGTTCTGGGGAGGGCGACCGTCATGGAAAGGTGATGGTGTCTGACCTATCATGAATCCTTGTGGACCCTGCGCATCCGGTCGAGGCGGTGTTGCCGAAGGCTTCTTCTGTGACATTGAGAGACGATTCAGTAGGTCGTTCATAACATCGTTGCCGTTGCCGTGCTGTTGCATATCTTTGAGCTGTGGAATCTTGGTGGGATCTGTAACGGAGCGATGCGAGGCGGGCGAGGCTGCTGGTGGGGGAGACATGTGTGCGTGCTTGCTTTCCCCGTCAAGCTCTATGGGAAAGACGCCATTCAGCGAGTGTGACGAATCATGCTTCAAATGCTGTGGCCTGGAAGTGTCCATTGGGTTGAAAGGTCCGTGGGAGGCTGGGCGTCCATGGTTGCCCTTGGCTCTCTCAGCCGCATCCGCCTTGAAAAGCAGGTCCAATGGAGATTGTTCATTACGAGGAGGAACGGCCACCGGGGCGCGGGAAGGAGAAGCAGAAGGACTTGGAGAAGCAGAATCAGAACTATCTTCGGGCGGAGGTGTTGGTGGACCAGCACGTGTCTTGGCCGGCACAGAACGAGAAAGAAACTTGGGTATAGGCAGAGCAGAAGGAGCCGGAGAAGCATGGAAGGTCGGGCCGGCATAGGCGGCCTGGATCTTAGCCGGGGTAGCAGACGGATTGATCGGAACAGGCTCTGATTCAGGAGGAGAGAAGACGCGGTCGATGGAGGGATGGGACTGGTTGGGCTTCCTCATGTTGCGCGGTCCAGAGGGCATGTGCGCGTCCTCACCTGAGTGGGACGCGCCTTCCGCGTGGGCGAGCTCAGCAGGCATCTTGCTCGGGGACGCTCCTGCCGCACTGTGTTGGTTCTGGGTGTAGCCATTGTGTGCGCGGTTGCCTCGTGGTTTGCGTTGCGACTGCCGGCCGGCGTTGGCATGCGCTGCCTGAGCTGGGCTCTGCGGCTTGCCCCGGGGAGCGCGTGGAGAGGCCGTGGTCTGTACTGTCGACATGTGAAGCGTTGTCTGTGGAGTTGTTGTATTGTGATGGGGGGTGGGTTATCTGGTAGGGCGCAGGCGGACGCTCTTGGTTCGTGATGAGGTAGTGGGTTGGATGCGCGATGACGCGGTCTGTGTCTTTGTCTGATAAGGTGGGAATGTGCAAGGGTTAGATGTTGAAGTGATCATATCCAGATTCGCGGGGTATAGATAGGCACGCGCCGTTGGGTGAGATAGGGCGAAGAGTGAGGGTGTTGTGAGCAGAGTCGGTCGCATCGACGGTGAACGGCGCGGAGGTGGCTGTGATCCAACGAGGCTGATCTCGGCAAGGCGCACTGACGGTTGCGGCGGCGTAGGGCTGAGAGGTCGGGTTGGGTATGATGGAAGCGGGAGGCTGTCGGGCGCCCGTCTTTGAATCGCGAATAGCGGTGGCATTATGGCGTTTGCTCGTCCGAAGGGAATTTGGACGCTTGGCGAAAGATTGTGCATTCCCTTTCACCTGGCACCTCGTCCCAAGGTTGGTACACAGGGCCTGGCCTTGGCATTCGGGAGCTCGTAGCTGGAGCCTGACGCCTGCACACTGCGCCTTCACCTACAAACACACTGGCAGCGCTGCAACAAAACTTTGCCACCGCCATATAATTCCGCGAGCTGCACGTTGTTCCCTTTCAACTGCAACCGCCCGTACACCGCCTACCACCACCGCGCTGCGTCAACCCCAGCAGCTTCCACTCCAACCAACTCCCCGCGCACCCCACCACCCCGACACATCACATAATCATGGCGGATGTCGACATGGCAGACGCGCCCCCGGCGAAGACCAAGACCGGCAAGGCCAGTGCCGCAGAGGGCGACAAGAAACGTTTCGAGGTCAAGAAGGTAGGCATCACACGACAGAGGGCAGAACATAGAGATTGAAGCTAACATGACGCAGTGGAACGCCGTTGCTCTCTGGGCTTGGGATATCGTCGTCGACAACTGCGCCATTTGCCGTAACCACATCATGGACCTCTGCATCGAGTGCCAGGCCAACCAAGCCTCCGCCACCAGCGAAGAATGCACAGTCGCCTGGGGCATCTGCAACGTACGCTCTATCATGACACTGCACTGACCCGTACTGACACATGACAGCACGCCTTCCACTTCCACTGCATTTCACGATGGCTCAAGACCAGACAAGTCTGCCCGTTAGACAACCGAGACTGGGAGTTCCAAAAGTACGGCCGATAGACGCTCGCAATGCCGTGGAGAGATTGGTTTCAGCAGGGACAAACATGGGTCTTGGTTTCATTCGGACGTCCGGCGTTAGTAGGGCCTTCACAAAAGGGCTATGAGAGCATGGAGAAGTAGCAGCGTAGGCGGTCATCATCGTCGAATCAGATTCCATTACGATCGTGAAGTGTCCTGACCATGCGACTCCCTTCCGTGTCCCAGCGCGACTATCCGACTTTCTGCCCATCTACGTCGATGTTGTACTGTGATGTCGTGTTGTGCGGCGGGAGCCAGTCCTCGGGATTCTTGTTGTAGAAAGGCCACGGGGGTACGACAACGAGGAATGTGAGCGCGGAGCCGGCGAGGCCAATGTAGAGTGCCATTCGAATGTCTTGCTGCAGGAAGCCAACGATGAATGCGATGATCTGTGTTGTCAGCTTGTTGAAGTGTATCAGGCGGGCGAGGGACACATACACCAGCCGCACCAAGCAGGACAGTGCTCAGCATCTCTGCAAGCCGCTGACCCTCAAAGTCCTGGTCGTGTTAGCACATGCATCAAGTCAGGTAGCGGCGTCGCTGTCGCATACAATCTGGCCCTCGACCGCGTCGCGCACCTGCTCCAGAAGCTGGTCGGCCATGGTGATGGGGTATGCTGGATGTCCGAGTCGTGATCGTTGTATTTGAAGGCTAGGTTGGTGAAGATCGGGAACGGATGTCACTTGGAGCTCTACTGAACGTCTAACGGGCCTAACTGTCTCGGAGAGGTGGCATTACCACGAGCCGGGACATCTAGAAGGCAGGGGTCCGCAGCTGCACTAGCCTTCACTAACGGCGCCTCTTGATTTACGCCCAACATTGACGCAACGACAGCATTTGGTACCTGGTTCGCCATCCCAGGTGCAACAAGAACCTTGGCCGGTTAGGCCGCGGAATGTGCGGCACCACTTTCACTCGCTCTCTCCACAGCGGCCGAGTTCTCGATCAGTCACATGCATGACCGTTTGTCGTTCTCTGAGCGCGCCTGCCCAATCAGAGCGGGCCAGTAGGTTCCGTCGCTGCACAAGCTTTTTCCTTGACCCATCGCTCAATCGCGGTATTTGAGTCCCGCACCGTCCCTTCAACAACACTCCCACCGTCCCCTGGACTTCCACCCACCGCACTTCCCATCGACTTTCAACCGCCTCACGATATCAACTGCCAGCAGTCGCGATCGCGCACCTTCCACCCATCCGGCTCTTATCTCCGTGGACCGCCATCCACCACCGCGACTGATCGCTCAAGGGGTCTTTGTTTTTGCAACCGTCCCCTTACACCGCACCTTCTGACGCTACGGCGTCCATATACATACAAACCACCAAGTTGGCGGGACTCTACCTCGACAAGCTTTCCTTCATCCGCCCCTTGCTCGGCACAAAGGCCTGGGTATACGGAGGCGACCACAAGCCACCATAACTCGCCCTAACAGCAAACACATTCATTCGCTACTGCATCACCGTCTCTACATTTCTTCCTATTCCCACAGGGCGTGGAAGTCTGGCTACCGGACTCTGTCTCCCATCGGCTTAGTGTAGGGGACCACCCTACGCGAAGCCATCGTCAAGTTGAGCGCGCCCTAGAGGTGAGCGCTCACAAGCGACTCGCCCGCTTCTGTGGTTCTTGCGCTGCAAGAAGTCGCTGAATCCACCAACAATCTGGCTTAACCAAAGCATACGACATCTGATTCGGAGTCCTACTCATCGCCGCCTGAGTCGCCAATATGACTGACACTCCGAGATCCGAGAACCAGACGAGGTTCAGCACCCCGGTGTCTGACCTCGACGACCACCGCCACCAGCCCGTATCGCTCCCACGAGCCGATGCCACTTCGCCCCCTAGGTCGCGCCGACCAACGTTCGCAAGCGTCCAGGGCCAAGACCGACCCAACATACTCCTCCAAGTCAACGAGGCCCTCGAGGCAGACATCACTCGGCGCGATTTCGAAAGCGCCGTCGTAGACGATGACCAGCACTTGGCTCCCGATGCCTACATACGCCGCGGTTCTCTGGCGCACAGCCCACAGGCCCGTCGAGAGACATTCAGGCGCCCGCGCGACCCGGCAGTCGAGCGCCTGACTAGGAGCAGGGCTTCGTCGACCACTTCGCGCTCCGTCTCCCCTCCCAACTCTGTCGACGCATTCGCCGGCCCTAGGCGCCGCGACCGTGCCAACACCCTCCAGAGCCATGCTGGTTCCGAGCTCGAGCTGGGATTGAACAGGACGCTTTCTCGCGGCACTGCGCGCCGTCCGACAATCAGCGACGAGCGTCCTGATGAGCTGCACAACGTTGAAGTTGCATCTGCGCACAGCTCTGCCGAGGAGGATGTGTGCTTCCCTGTGGCCGAGGATACTGGCAAGACTACTAGGTTCGACTACGAAGAGTTGGAGGAGTTTGTCGCAGAGGCTCAAGAGAAGACGCCCATCGGCCAGCCTCTGCGACACAAGGCGAGTACCGCTTCCAACCTTTCCACAAAGCCCAAGGTCTTCTCCGATCTCCGCCCCAAGTCCAGCCAGTCAGGAACACCCAAGACAGACAGCGACGCTTTGAGCCTTAAGAATGCGGACCCTGCGATCCAAGAGAAGCTCGCCGAGGAAGGTCTGTCGCACGTATTCGCGGAGAAGCCGGCGCCAGAAGTGAAGCTCAACCGCTGGACCTTCTTCTCGTCTGAGTTGGACGACACGATCCATGCTGCCGAACTGGGCGGTCTGCTTATGCCCGGCGAACGCTTCCGCGATCTGTTTGACACCCCATCAGACGGCGGCGTCTGGTGGCTCGACATGGTCAACCCTACAGAAGAGGAAGTCTTCGCCATCTCCAAGGCTTTCGGCGTGCACCCTCTCACCCGTGAGGATATCTGCGTCCAAGAGCCGCGCGAAAAGGTGGAGCTCTTCCATCAATACTACTTCGTCTCTTTCCGTTCCTTCTTCCAAGCTGACAAGGAATCGGAGGAATACTTGGAGCCTGTCAACTTCTATGCTGTCGTATTCAAGGAGGGCATCCTAACTTTCACTTTCTGCGAGAGCCCACACACGTTTTCTGTGCGCAAGCGCATCAGCCGTCTTCGCGATTACATCAACCTCAACGCTGACTGGATCTGCTACGCCCTCATCGACGACATTGTCGACAGCTTTGCACCTGTCATTCGGGGCATCGAAGATGAGGCAGATGCGATTGAGGATCAGGTCTTCACTGCGCGCATTGAAGATTCTCGCGCCATTCTTCGATCGATCGGCGACTGCCGCAAGCGCGTCATGCAGCTTCTGCGTCTCTTGGGCGGCAAGGCAGATGTCATCAAAGGCTTCGCCAAGCGTTGCAATGAGTCGTACAGCGTTGCTCCTCGGGGTGACGTGGGCATGTACCTCAGTGATATCCAGGATCACGTCGTCACTATGATGTCCAACTTGGCTCATTTCGAGAAGATGCTCAGCCGCGCACACTCCAACTACCTTGCGCAAATCTCGGTTGATCAAGTCATTCAAGGCAACGACAGCAACGCTACGCTTCAGAAGGTTACGGTCATCGCTACGATTCTCGTTCCGCTCAACTTGATTTGTGGTCTGTTTGGTATGAACGTCAAGGTTCCTGGTCAGGATGGCAGCCTCGGATGGTTCTTTGGCATTATTGGTGTTATTGTCCTTTTCGTTGCTGTCTGCTTGGGGGTTGCTAAGAGGATGCGTTACATTTGATTGAATTTGTTGGTTGGTAATTCCCTGTTTTGTCAGTTGGACACTGTCTGTCTTTGTTTCTCCTATGTTTAGGATCGTGGTTTTCATTCAGTACATGTATTAACGCCAGCGCTGGTGTACCGGAGGTTGTCATAATTCGGGGTCACGTCATACACGATCATGTCGGCATTAGATATACTCTAGATTAGAAAAGTATTGTTCTCGTCGCAAAGCTCTTTGCTGCCAGCACATCGCCTGAGTATGAAATCGGATACTTGTGTGATGATCTCACAGATCGACAACTACGTGTGGCTCTGGGTAGAAGGTAGTAAGAAGCAAACCAGACAAGCCAAAAAAGAAGGCGCGCATACCCTGTACAATGAGCCATCAAGCTAGGGATTGGCGTACGCGAATAGACAAAGCAAAAGAATGCTTTACAGTATTGTTTCAGGTGTGGATAGTGCCCATGATGACATCACATGAAACAGCATGCATTGGTAGCGCGTGTTTATACTACCTTGCTCATTCGCTCACATGACATCCAGAGACGCGATGATAGATGGAAGGGTAGATAAGCCACAACTTTGTGCTATCACGCGAGCAGCCAACCTTGGGACGCATCCAAGGTGACATTCCGTACCGTTCCTATTCGTTCCGAGGTCGGAAGGAACACTGCCAAAGCCAGAATGCGCAGCATCCAAGGCGCCGAACAGCAACTGTGCCGACGATGAAAGAAACGTAGTGACGGTGAGCCCCTGCAGTCATGAGGACCAAGTAAGGAAGGTTCCACTCGTTGTCCGCGAGTTCGGAAGCGGTGACTTAGGCTCCTGCCGAGGGGCGGACTAAGTGATCCTTGTTTCGGCGAGAGCATTCGATCATGCAGCGCCTCAGCCGACCGACTCCCTTAAGTACAAACTCTCGCCCTTCCGCCGCTCTCTCACTCCTTGCACAAACCACCAGGACGTTCTCTCTACCCACACTCTCACTTTTACACGTAGACAACACCCAACCGACCGCCTCGGCGAATACAGTACTGTTCCTGCACCCCCACGAACACTACACGCTTCAGCAAGCACCCCGGACCGAGAAGGCAACATGGCGGAAATGGCGCAGCGGATACTCATGAATGAGTTCAAGCAGCTCAGCAAGGAGAAGTGGACAAACATCGAGGTGCGTCTTGGTGACATTCTCCAGAGTCACAGTCATAGTGGCGATGCAGGAGCACCGAGCTAACCACGTCACAGCTCATCAACGAGAACGTCTTTGAGTGGAGTGTCGCCCTGATAGTCATGAACGAAGAGTCCATGTACTACGGCGGCTACTTCAAGGCCAAGATGACCTTCCCTCGCAACTACCCGCATAGCCCGCCAGGTACGTCACTGCCAATACGCGGTTCCAGGGATGGAAGGAGTCGCGAAGCGCAGGGCAAGAGCTAACGGTTTACCAGATTTCAAGTTCATCCGCCCGCTTTACCACCCCAACATTTACCCCGACGGCCGCCTATGTATCTCCATCCTCCACCCACCCGGCGATGACGAGATGTCCGGCGAGACTGCCGCCGAGCGCTGGTCACCCGTGCAGCGCGTGGAGACAGTCCTAATATCCATCCTCTCTCTGCTGGACGATGCCGAGGTTTCCTCACCCGCTAACGTCGATGCGGGAGTCATGCTGCGCAACAAGCCCGAGCAGTACAAAGAGATGGTCAAGAAGGATCTCGAGCTGTCAAAGGCGGACATCCCCACGGACTTTGTCATGCCAACACACGAGACGGCATGGAAGAAAGAGAAGGACGAGGGCGAGTTTGACATGAGCTGGGAAGACAGCGATGCTGAGAGCCTGGACTTTGGTGGCAGCGAGAGCGACCCTGACGAGGATCAAGAAATGGATTCCGACTTCGAGGGCGATGACGATGATGCGGAAGACGACGAGGATGCCGACACCCCCATGAAGCGCTAGACGTTGCCCATGGACTGCTACTCTGAGCCCCTCATCATGCGAATGTCTCACATCCGCATGCCAGGCCTACTTAAGGGTGGGTCCTCAGCGTCTGAAGAGGATTCGGGTTCTGACACCCTCATCCTTGTCGCTTCACCGGCAGCATCACCTACCTCAACACTCCTCTCTTCGTCATCATGCGATCCGACAGCCCCTACTCCATTTTCCCCTCACCCCCGTCCAACGATATGGTGGACACTCGCGCACTAGGAACTGCGCATCGCCCTCTCACCCCCTTGCCCAACTTTCCATTCCTCGGTTTTCTTACACGTCTTCATCATGAGCGCGGCGTTCGGTTTCGGCATGGTATTCATGGCGTTACGCCTGCAACGGGCTTTCACGCCTAGGGTTCGGTCACGGTTAGGACGGCATCTACACCGCATAGGAACGGAGTTCTTGGGTCACCTTTTTATCATGCGTGGCATGGTCACTTTGGGCTTGCATTTGGCGGCGCAGTGGCTGCATGTGAATGGCCGTAGACTAGGGAATGCATGAATTACATACATATTGGCATTTGCAATGTCTCTTGCGTGATGGACACATGATCTGAGTTGTCGCATTGCCAGTGCATGTTGTGAGGCTAACCATTCGGCTTTCCTCCACCCTAGGCCTCCGTTGATATACACAGCATACATCCACCCCAACATAGACTATTTTCCGTCCTGCTTTGAATCTCGAAATGCTATCTTTGTCCCGCTGAGCTTCGCAAGTAGCACGCGCCAGCCCTTTTTCTGAACTTTGCCGAAATCAAATCCCGTTCCGTATATATATTCCAAAATGGCATTGTGATTGACGCCCTCGCAGAGCGATGTTGGGCATTTTGTTTCCTCAGATGTCCTTATTCCGTTGCATTGAGTGCAACGCCAGTCACCGGTACCTTCGTTGTCGTCGTCGTTGTCGTCGTTGTTGTTGTCGTTGTTGTTGTCGTTGTTGTTGTCGTCGTTGTCGTCGTCGTCGTCATCATCATCGTCGTTGTTGTTGTTGTTGTTGTTGTTGTTGCCGTTGTCGTTGGCGTCGGGGCCTTCTCCAGGAACCCAGCCACCTTCACTGAGTAGTGATTTGATGACCTCGTTGTCTGGCGATTTTCCGGTTATGTACTCGAGAAGCTCCTGGAAAACTTTCTCGGTAGATTCAGGTAAGAATATTTTAGTTGCGTGTGGCATTGTCACGAGCTTTGACGTCGTGTTTGAGGATGCGAGTGTGGTGTAGTCGCCGAAGACTGTCGGTACAGGCAGACCGTTCTTTACGAATGTGGAAGTGAGCACGTGGGAACGATCGTGTGTTTAATGTTTGATGTGTGATGTGGAATTTGGAAATGGTGGTACTTGAAGAGTGCAGTGAGAACTCAGTGGTATGTAGGAGTGATGAAGAGGTCGCTACGAGGTCATATATACTAGCTATGACTCGAAGATGTATTGGTCCGTGGGATGTTGTACCACGATGATGATTACAAGCTTAGCCTTTTAGAAGACAGTGCGTGGGTCTAGCTACCCTTTGAAGATGTCGAAGCTGTACGCTGGACCCTCCATTTTGACAGTCCTTTCACGGCCTGAACACCAAGACTTACCAACCAATGCCCATAGCGTTTCTGACTCTCTCCATGGTGCTCTCGGCAATGTTCTCTGCTCTTTGCGCTCCCTCCTCTACATGCCCTATAAGCTCCTTCTGATCTCCACTCATCAATTCCTGGTAACATTCTCTTGTATCCTTGATGCCGAGATCAACGGTATCAGCGACCTTCTCTTTTAGAGCCCGCATGCTGAGGTTTTTCAAGTCATTCGCTAGATCTTCCGGCGACGCAGCGAGCGACTCATCGAAATGATACATCAAATCCACTAGGTTTGTCACACCCGGTCTGGTCTCGCGGTCATAACTCACTCCCTCAATAGAGTCTGTCAATGCCGTCTTCAACTTGGCATGTATCTCCTCTCTTGAGTCTGTTATCAAGATACGACTCTTCGGTTTCGGGTCGCTCTTGCTCATCTTTTTTGTTGGTTCAGTCAGACTCATGACTCGTTTCGCGGGACTCAGAAGTGTTTGTGGAACAGTCAACAGAGGCTGTGACTCTGAGTAGACGTGGTTAAAGCCACTGGCCAGCTCGCGCGTGAACTCGAGATGCTGCGCTTGGTCTTCACCAACTGGGACGTGGGTCGTGTTGTAGAGGAGGATGTCTGCGGCTTGTAGGACTGGGTACGAGAAAAGACCGAGTTTGAGGGCGTCTTTGTTGTTGGAGGGATCGAGAGGAGATGCATTGGATGGTAAGGAGAGCTTGCTCTAAGACAGTGTCAACATTATGCCTCCTAGGTCTACTTCCGCGGTTGTATACCTTCCACTGGGTCATCCGGCCCAAATAGCCCATGCTTGCACCACAACTCAGGATCCACATCAACTCTGCATGTTGCTTCACACTGCTTTGCGCAAAGATGATGCATCTCTTCGGATCAAGTCCCACTGCCAGCAGACTAGCCAGCATCTCTTTCCGCCATCTTGCCAATTCGCTCGGATCTTGTTTTATCGTAATCGCGTGCAAATCAACTATTGAGAAAAGAAGCGTTGTATCCAGAGATGCCTCATCTTGCAGCTTGACCCATTGCCGCAGTGCGCCGAGATAGTTTCCAAGATGCGGTACGCCGGTGGGCTGGATCCCCGAGAATATCACCTGCTTCTGGTTCTTGCCGGCATTCTGTCTCGCTGGCGAGGCGATGGAGTACTTGCGCAGGCAGCCTGAGCATACACGAAAAGGCGAGGGTGCTGCACGCTGCAGCGGTCGAAGTGAAAACATTGAAGTCAGGTTGTTGTATCAAAATCGGAATCGCGGTTGCTCAGCCACCAGAAAGCGCGGCCGGGGTCTTGTAGCGTCGTCATTGTGGCACTGCCGCCCGCCAACAACCACTCGACTGCGCCCAACCACGGCCTCCTTCTCCATTCACGCTACTCTCCCCACAACACCACGACTACCACCCACGATCGCAAGCCTCACACACCTCACTATACATACCGTCGCCCGGAGGTAGAGGGAATAAACCGCAATCATGTCCTGGACCGGTAAGGAGCCCCTCGACGATGATCCAGGAAGCCGCCGGCTCACCAGACGCAGGGTTCAAGAAAGGCGTCAATCGCGCGACGACGCAGGTTCTTATGAAGACTGGCCAAGTCGAGCGCACAAATGACCGCGACTTCGAGACTGAGCAGCGGTACGCTCTCCAATCATCAGATGCATACTTCATACAAGAATAAGGCATCCCACCGTAGTACCACGACTAACATGACGCCAGCCGGTACCGTACTATGGAGACCGCCGCGAACAAGCTGCAAAAGGAAGCAAAAGGCTACCTCGACTCTCTGCGCGCCATGACCGCCTCACAAATGCGCATCGCCGAAACCATCGACGCCTTCTACGGCGACGCGGGCACCAAAGACGGCGTATCGCGATCCTACAAGCAAGCCGTTACCGACCTAGACGCCGAGACGATAAAAGCCCTCGACGGCCCCTACCGAACAACCGTCCTAGACCCCATCCAGCGATTCTGCTCTTACTTCCCCGACATCAACGCCTGCATCACAAAGCGCGAACACAAGCAAATGGACTACGACCGCATGCGCGCGCAAGTCCGGAAGCTCACCGACAAGCCCGACAAGGATGTCACCAAGCTACCGCGCGCGGAGAAGGACGAACAACTCGCCAAGGCCGCGTACGATCAACTCAACGACACCCTCACAACTGAGCTGCCGCAGCTCATCGACCTGCGAGTACCATACCTAGACCCCAGTTTTGAGGCGCTGGTCAAGATTCAGCTGAGGTTCTGTGCGGAAGCGTACTCAAGAATGGCGCAAGTGCAGCAGTATCTGGATGCGAACACAAGAGATCAGTATGCACAGGGCGAGCTGGATGCGCGGGTGGAAGAGGTGCTGCAGGAGATTCGGGACTTGAGTATTGCGGGCACTGTCTAAGAGCTGGAAAGGAGAACATGTTTTTCCTGTATCGTACATGGTAATTTCTGTGGCGTCAGACTCGTTGGTTTTGCGGCATTGGTTGGGTTGCGTAAGGACAGACGATGGAGTTCAGCAGTGCCTCCACCTCCCTGTAACCATCGACTTTTCAAGGCGCTCGATTTCATGATGATTCGTTCATTTCCACTGCATCATGCCGCACTGACTTGCAAAATGAGCTGACTCTTCAGACTTACTCTTCGTGACAGGAAACGCCAAGAGGTCACGGTGGAATGGTTTTGTTCAACGTAACCTTTCCCACTGAGTCCTATCTAGAGTCAGTAAAAGAGTCAGCCTCCGCCACAGACATGTCTCATTCCCTTGCTTTCTCTTATGACAGCTTCATTGACACATATTGGTAATATAAAATGTCTGCCGGATTGGTCTTCTGATTGATATCCTACACACGTTCACCACACCAAGCTTATTGATACAACATCCTTATGTGATATCACGCAATCTACTCTTTCAATGGCCCGCTCAGAATATCGGGAGGGTCGCTGGACTGAAAGACCAAGACTTTCGCGATCGCCTCCACCAAGAGCATGTCTACCGCCTCCACAAGGGAGATATTCCTCCCCTTCACGAGAAGCAAGCTGGAGGCGTTCACAAGAAAGATTTTCAACGTCTCTACGATACAGATATTCACCACCCTCGTCCGAAGATTATAATCCGCCCTCACGAGAAAGATGTCGATCGCCACAAACACCGAGATCAAATATCGGAGACCCGATCTTAGAACATGAAGCTTTCGATTGTTTCGACTGTCCGGCCGTTGAACTTAAAGAATATCAAGGAGAGATAACCCACATGGAACCTCACCACCAAAGATGTACCACATGTGACCGGCCCAAGAAGTGGAAATACTGGAAATGCACGACATGTCTGCGGACTTGGCGAACGACAACGCTCAGATGTAAAACGGGGAAAGGAAGCCGGCTGAAGTGTGAGGGACTCAGTCCCGAGGCTCCCTGGTTTCTGCTCTTTGCAGAGATCAGAGACGAATGCAATGTACTGGCCAAGCGAGTCGCAGAGTTGGAGAGGAAGGAGTACAAACCCAAGAATTATAAGCGCGAGCTGGAGGATATAGAGATCATTGCGAAAGTTGGAGATTTTGGCGAAGAGAAAAAAGAGTTGCTGTTGGAGTGGAGGGACTGACCGTTCTGCCGTCTAAGCATCAAACGACATAGCATGAAAGTTCAGGAGGGGGGGAAGGTGAAGCAGATTGTTATGATGTAGAGACCAGACATTGTGCAAAAATGGAATTAGGTTTGCACCGCAAATACGGTCACAAGCCACTTGTGCGTTCGGCTGAATGCACCTGCTGTGACGCTTTTGAAGCTACATTTAAGACTGCGTTTCTCCGGTCTTGTTACAAGTCTCTGCGATGAACTTGATATCCTTGAACACCTTGGTGAATGGCTCGAGATGGCCCTTGAATACATATGACGCGTCAAGTTTAGGCTTCTGGACACCTTCCGACAGTTCCACAGTGACATCCTTCTCCCAGCCATCCGCATAACGAGCCTTCTCCCTCTTGACGCTCACTTTGACACTCCTACCATTCACCTCCTTGACCTTGCCAGCAATTCGAAAGCAGCACCCGCTGCTCGGTTCGACAGTCTCCGGATCCTTGAGAACGTCGAGACTCTTAGGCCAGCCTGTGAGAGGGGAAGATCCGGTACTAAGACTTCCACTGAAGCGATAGTGCCCGTATACCAGAGGCTTCAGATTCTCTGCCCACACCGTGTCCTGACCGGTGATTACAACGTTGACTTCAGTGCTCAGAGGAGATTCCCAGGGCCAACCACATGGCAGTATCTTAAAAGGATCGAAGTCCGAGCCACCCATTCCGAAGTCTGTAAAGTGCCGCTCGACGCGTATGACCGTAGCAGTGAACGCTATATGTATCGGACTTAGTCTCTTGGTGAAATGAGAATCGTCCAGCACCTCTGCGAAGTCTTCGAGTTTGACAGTAGGTGCGCTTTGATGAGACGCGCTGACAACGGCACCATCGGTCGCTTCCCAGAACCTGCAGCTACTGCTCCTTTCGTTCATATTCATCATGCCTTGATTCGGAACCATGGCCTCGTATTCGTATATACTGGGACCACCTGGCTGGTCGTTGTCCAGAAGTCGTTCTAAGCTTGAGTTTCGTTCCAACCAGGATTTCGGTAGGTCGCGCAGACCAGCTCTCAGGGCAGGATTGTTCTTAAGTATATCGTTCCGACCTATCATCCCCTTGAAGACGATGAAGTCTTCGATATAATCATAGTCTTCATCGTATGCTTCTTGTATTGTCTTGCCTTTAAATTTACCGAAGGTGAAACGGTAGGGGCCGCGGCTCTTGGGTGCTGCGCGCGTCTGGGTACGTCGCTTCTTTGAGGACTCGGCATTGGAGGATGCGGCTGGTTGTCGCTGTCGCTTGACGCCGGAGCTCATCGTGGGTATCAGATGAAGTCGTTCGCTTGAATACGAGATCGCAGAAAGGCAAGAGGAGAATTTTGCAGAATTAAGTTCGGACCTGGAGAAGAAATAGTCAAGCGCTACAGGCGAGGGAATCTCGATCGCATAACACGGTATGCATAGGAAATTGTGCCGCAGCTTAAGTAAGGGTACGCGGCTGAAGTTACGCGCAACGCGTCGGCGATGTAGAGCACCTGCACGACGCGTTGCTAAACCACAAACATTGATACGCCCTGGAGAACACGAATTGGAGACGAAGTCGACAAGGAGCTTTTGGTCAATACTTGAAGACACTACCGCGTCACGATGTGAGGGTCGAGCGGAGAATGCGACTAGTCGTCCTCGCATGTGCACGGCGGTGGCAGCCGTTTGAAAGTGGGGGCTGACGTGGCCCGAGCGTGTGCTGCAAGGATCCCTGAACGTGTCACGGTGATTACCATTCCGCCTACGTCACCTACCTTCCACTCGGAAAATGCGTGTCGTCCCTCAATGTGCGACACTCTGAATGGAGATACCGCGCTGAAATCGACGACCCTTCGTGCTGTCGTTGTAGCTATAGCTATCGCCTTGCGGGACCTCATTCCATTCGCAGGACCATCCAATCTATTCCTTTCTTTCGAGAGGGGACGGACGAGGAAGTGACGAACTCTGGTGCAACGTAGGGTTGCATAAGTGCTTCTTCCCGGGTCCAACTCCGCGGGGCGAGGTCTGGGATGACATAGGTGGAGCAGTCGAAGTCTCGGTAGTGTCTACCCCTTGTGTTCTCGTCCGTATAACCTACTGCAGCCCGCACTTGGAACTACCCAGAGTTATCTCATAACATCCCTTTTACATATCAACCTATATCCAACACTCAACTACCCCAAGCCATGAATAATTCCGACGATGATGGACCAACAAAACAGTGGAGACCTCGACTTAAGAACCAGGCATCAGTCTTATCGCCTGCCAAAGATTCTGGTATCAGGAAGTCATCTGGGAAGCAATCCTTATCGCAGTCTTCCCTGGAACATGCAGTTCAAGCCTGTGAAGCAGACACATCAGACAAAGTGTACGAGTTCGACTTGGAAAGCATTGCGGCCAGACCATCAAACAAGTCGCAGACACCAGCCCCAGCTATTTGCTCTGGTGTCTGAACAACGAGGACATGATGGAAACGAGGATCGACCTAGCCGATGGCTTTAGAGCTTTATCGAACGACTTCCTCAACTCGCAGTCTAGTTCCCTGCGCGAAGCCATGCGGAAGAGGGGAATTCATCCCCATGACATCGCGGACGCTCTCATGGTAGAGGGACAAGATGATCACGGGAACTTTTGGAACATCAC